ATGGCATTCTGTAGTGTTTGAACCAAGCCCTCCAAACACCGACTTGCCTTGTCGTCTGCAAGTAGCTTCTTTGGCATCAGCTGCTCCGCAACGTCTGCAGGTGTGATCTTCACCTTCTCCAACAATTCCTTCACCTTGTCGAACAGTGGGTGCTCCTCCACTTCCAAGTAATTTTTGGCTAATACCTTGAATGCTTCAAAACCACAGTACCCAAGCTCGATATGCACATCCATCCTCCCCCTCCTCACCAACGCTGGGTCTAGTTTCCCCACATGGTTGGTTGTGAAAACAATGAGCCTCTCGCCCCCGCATGCAGCCCACAGCCCATCGACGAAGTTCAATAACCCCGAGAGCGTCAATTTGCTCTGCCCATTGTCTACCGTCTTGTTCTGCCCCATCTCCTCATTGACATTTTCTTCGTTGTTATGGTTGACTCCTTTAATTTCTCGGGTGCCGGAGAGATGGATGGAGCAGTCGATGTCCTCGATCACGATGATCGACTTACTTGTAGTGTTCACAATCAGACGGCGGAGCTCGGTGTTGTCCTCGATGCCGGTGAGCTCGAGGTCGAAGACATCGTAGTCGAGCAAGTTGGCCATGCAAGCGATTAGGGTGGACTTGCCCGAGCCCGGTGGACCATAGAGAAGGTAGCCGCGCTTCCAGGTCTTGCCGAGCTTGGCATAGTAGTCCCGGCTCTTGCTAAAAGTCTCTAGGTCATTCATGATCTCTTGCTTCTTCTTGGGGTCCATTGCGAGCGTTGCAAAAGTCGCCGGGTGCCTGAACACCACCTGAGTCAACGGTGATGATTTATGATTTTGGCGCAGGAATACTAGCACCGATCGTTTTAGACGTGTTTGAGATGATTCAGAGGAGGTTGTAGTAATTGCGTACCTTCGTCCAGTGCATGTGGCTGCTCATGGTGTTGGAGTAGAGATTCCGCTGCCGGTTCTTCTGCTCGATCTCCTGGCTCCTCTCCATGATGTACACAAGGTATTGGTTCAACACCACCGATCGATGTCGAGCACTGAACTTGAGCGTATAGAACTTCGTCTCCTCGTTCCCTCGTTGAGTCGTTCCCGTCCCGTCCCGGCAGTAGAAAGTCCACCTCACCTTGATTGTCTTGTCCTTCTTCTTACCATCGTCGTCAACCTTCGGCGTGAAGACGTCGACGATATGTTGAGCATCGTCCATTGTGAGCTTGAGATGATGGCTGTTGTGATCAGTGTATGCCTTCATCCGACGAGCGTCGTCGGTTGACCTGGTGCTGAGGTAAGTCTCGACGGCAGAGAAGACCTTGCTGTTTCTGTACCAATCCCGGTCTTCCTGAGAAATGGTGATCTGCATCTCGTTGGACCACCACAACTTGAAGCGGCGGCACAGAAGGTGGAGTATGGCTGGCAACTGGTTCACCATGCCAACCATGGTGAGCATGATCCAGCTGTTTAGAAAAGACATGGCCTTGCCGCCCGGACCACTGCTGAAGCGCCGTACTCCGCTTGCGTCGCTAAAGCTAAACATGATGGATGAGGAGGAAGGAAACACGTAAAAGGTGCTGCTAAAAGAGAAGAGAGAAAGAGAGGAAGAAGAGGGTGGTGGGATTTTGGTGTAGGACGCCAACAGAGCTCGACCACTTTCTTGCAAAAGACTCTTTTGCATGAACAACTTCTCACTCGATACAATGTTTCTCCCCTCACGTATACCCACAACAACATGAATCTGTATCCGTTTATAAGGATCTAAGAGGTATAATAAGATACCTCTTATGCCTCTAAAAACAAAAAAGGGAAAAACGAGGTATAAAATACCTCGTGAAGGGTCTTGTTTAATGTCATTCACCTGGTCAAAGGTCCATGTTCATGTACCTTCTCATAATGTCCATATTTAATGCAACCCTAGGTGCCTTTTCATGGTGTCTTTCCCTACAAAGAGTATTTATATTAAGTTTCTTATTTAACAGTATCTTAAACATAATTTACTATCGTAGGGTTGGTAAAAATATGTGCAATTTGACATTCAGAATTAATGTATTCCAATTGAATATCCTTCTCTTCGATATGGCCTAATGAAATGAAAGCAAATGTGAATGTGCTTGACCAAATGGTATCGCTGACTTCTTGTTAACACAAAATTCAGCTTAATTTTGTGCATAATGGATCTCCTTGGAAAGCTATTAAAGTCATATACCATGGCATTCACATGAAGGAAGATGCCACCAATTATTTTACCTCACATATAAAAGCCATCACAATGGATTATTTGGTATGATGCAAAATGAAAGTAGTGTCTCCCGAGTAGTAGACTAAACCAATTGTGTGTTTGTGTTTTTCTAATCTTCTACATCTACACACTACGCTAATCACTATCCAAATAGCCAACGAGAATATTAATAGAATAAACCGAGACTTATTTGGCATGTTGAAGAATCATTTTAGAAGATTTTTGATGGGTAAATGGATTATTAGTCTATTACCATATAAGTAGTGCATATCAAGTATCTCAATCTTCTTACTAAAATTTTGAAGCATGTAGGTTTAATTATCTTGCATCATCTGGTTTCGAAAGTTTATACCACACTGTACTTGTAATCTTCCATCGTAAGACTTTTAAGACTTTTAACAAGGTTGCAATCTTCCATCGTAACAAGGTTGCAATCTTCCATCGTAAGACTTTTAAGAACTCCTTTTGTGCATGCTTAGTGGGAAATAAGTATGTCTTCATCGCTTTCATTTACTTGAACATCAAGCAAATATGACATAAGTCTAATATCAGTCATCTTGAATACATAAACCATGATTAGGATCATAATAAGCCATGGTGCGCGAAAACGGAAAAGAATAGGAAATTTCTCTCCCCGTGACTTGATACCCTTGTAAAACTCCTCAGCCTTAGCACCCCGCAACAATAAAACAATAATATACTTGAAATATTAAAAAATGAAAGTATTATTTCATATAAAATTAAGATCATCTATGTACAAGCAAATAAGTAATATATCTCTATTTGTTTTTTACAAAGTTTAAGTGACAAAAATTAGATTGATTTCTCGAAGTCTTACTTGTAAAGCTAACCGGCACAATTATTATTTTTTTTATAAAATATAAGTGACGAAAACAAAAATATCTTCATTTTTTGTTTTTTAAACTAACATAATGGCATTGAACATAATATAATGCCTTTGGTGGAAATAAGCATCCATTATAGTATTTCATGCTCCAAGTGTTTGCTTTAGGTCATATAAAACCTTTTATATATATATATATATATATAAACTTTTCTCTTCATGCCCTATTTTAATGTATCTCAAGGTCATTCAATATATATTTCTTTAAAAATTATTCAAAAAATAATTCTTATAGTCCATTTGATAGATTGACTAATTATTTTATATGATAATAGGTATAATTAATCTAATAATTTGTATTTGAATGATAAAGAGTAAATATGTCATCCTAGTCCATATTAGTTTTCTGCCACCTAACTAGTGCTTCACTTGGCCTTGTTAGTTTTTGTTGACCATAGAAATCTACTTTACACTGAAAACTTTATAGTGAAGCTAATTCTCATGTATTAATTTTATGGATGCAGCATCCATTGTAACTTTTCATCTATTTTTTTTTATATCTTGTATGACATGTTCAAAGTGAAATGATTCACTATCTATAAAGAGAGCCAAAATAAGATGTAACTCATTTGTTACTTCATAAAGCACATTTAGCCTTTGTGTCTTTTAAGTCCTTCAGCTATCTATCATCTGCTATAAATAATTAAGGACACTGATTGCTGTCCAATAATAAATTTCATTTACATAAAATTATTGATACAATGAACACGGATAAGATCAAAGATAATAAACATTTGTCACTTTAGTAATCTTCGATCGATGAGTAGATATATATATTATTTCCAATATCACAGGTTCATTGTACCCGCCAATCACGTTGATGACACAAAGTGCCACATGGATGCTGGTGAGGAGGAGCTCGCCTTGATGTGACCACGTAGCGGAGTCCATGCGAGGAATGCTGTTGCTGCTTTGGGCATTGTTTTTGTTGGATGGGGGTGCTTATCTACTGGTCCCAACGGGTCTCTCTTGCCTGGAAGAATTGATCTCAGAGCCGGCTTCTTCTACTTGATTAGATGAACCAAAACACAACACTAACTTGAATCTGCTTCTTCTACACATTCAACCCAAGAGCACATGTTCTTCGATAGCAAGTGCTGTTGGTAATGATACCACACCTAATCCATTCTTCTTTTCTGGACCATTTGGATGCATGCCTTGGAGAGCATGCCTCCCTCCTTTTAGCTTCTTTCTCACTTGGATGTGATGGTTTCTAGAAGCTAGTATCCTAAGCTACAATGACAGAGGCAGGTCCACTTGGATCGGCACAGGGCAACAAGAACCAACAAGTCCTTCCATTTGGACTCTAAGGAGTGACTGACTCCTTCAAACCTCCCATTTGCTGCATGCCCCATCAGTTTCAGTTGTCACTTTAATCCCCACACAATGTGAGGTAAGACTAGATTGATGATGTTATAATCTTCTCCTCTGAAACTAGGATGGATGGGTGGGCACATCTTCACTCTCTTTCCACATTTATCTATCGAAAGCATTCCACGACAAAAGTTGGGTCCAGTGAGATCACCACTCACCACCACCACCACCACCACCACCGGCAGTGGTTCGGGTTGGGAGGTCCACTTCTTCTAGAAGAGCAGTAGTAGGTAATGGAGGCACTCGCGTCGGATTTGATCTGATTATCTTACGATCGGACGGCTGTGGTCGAATCAGTCAGAACCAAATCGTGCCGTACAACGCTGGCCCTTCGATTCAGAAGCCCATCGCGTCCCTTTGTTATGCAGACGGCCGTTAGATCCACGTCGTCGTCTTCCATCCTACGGCCAATGTATTCAGCGCATAAGAAAAATATGCGTATGTTTTCGTCAGGGTAGGCTACGAGCTCAGTGGGCCAGGAAAGCCCGCGGTTGACATCGCCCACATGGTGGAGACCGTCGACCCTAACATTTATATTAAGCCTCCGTTTGGGCTCCGTCCGGATCGCTGCTCTTTTGGATCCCTTTCTCTTACTAAGATAACGAAGAAGAAGATGTCTGCAGCCCTAACCTTCGCCGGGATGTCCCTTCATGGCGCTGGCCGACACAGGACGGTGGTGGCGGAGAAATGGGCGCCGGCGGCCGCGGGGACGAGGGGGAGGAGTCCGTACGAGGTGCTTAGGGTGCGGGAGACGGCGACGGCGGGAGAGATCAAGGCGGCGTACCGGTCCATGGCCAAGCGGTTCCACCCGGACGTGGCTGCTGACGGGAGAGGGGACGACTTCGTGGAGATTCACCGGGCGTACGAGGCGCTGTCGGACCCGGTGGCGAGGGCGCGGTACGACCTCTTGATGGGGAGGTGGTGGCGGGGGGCGGAGCGCCTCCGATCCAGGAGGTGGGAAACGGACCAGTGCTGGTAGCCATAGTGACGTTTCGCCTATGACCGACCTTAGTGGTGGTCGTCACAGAGTCACTATGACCGAAGGACGCAGAGACAGACCTGGTAGCCACTAGAGGCAAGTTTCGCCGATGGCCGAGAGACGCATCTCCTTCCCCACTGTTTATTGGAGGAAATTTTTCTTTGCATTTTTGTGCATAAATAAATAAATATATAGCTTCAGGGTTTTTCTAGCATGTTATGTCTCTATTCTCTCTGTAAATAAGCTAATAATTAATTGACCAGGCTTTCTTATGTAATGTAGATATGTTAACAACTTACCAGGAATTATTTTTTTCTCATTTGATGCTTGTATTATCCAATAAAAACTTCACAATAACAAGAGATAGTCGATTAAACAAAACCAAAGGAGAATGATTATCACAATAAAACCCACATAAGAATTGAACTCGAAGTACATGATCAAACATCTAGAATTACAATTGTTCAATCAAAACCTAATAAAGAAGCAGAAGAAACACAGCCATTCAGGAATCATTCCTAATTTACATAACTCTTAATGGGATTTCCAGTCTCCCTCTTCTCTCTAACATCAACTCGTTTTGTTCTATACACATGCTCTGCTGCCCAACCACGAGTCGATCACTTGCAGGTCATAAGCACAGAATTTATCACATGCATCAATAGGCGTATGTTGGTTGTTTCAGAGGCAGCAGTCGTCGGAAGCGCTCTTTGGTGGCCCAACATGCTATAGACTTGCTCAAAGATTGGCCTTACGTGCATCGTGATCATGGGGTCGGTCGGGTTGATTGCTACGGCAACATCAGTCATCCAGCCAACTTTTCTTGATGTTTCGTTATTCAAGTCGCATGCAAGTTGCTGCAGAAGTGCCAGGAGGACGCCTTGACTCAAGGGAAGCGGCACCGTAGAGCAAATTGCCCGCAGATCAACCTGCAAAATGATGCTAATTAGTATAAACAAAGAAAGGGGTAAATAAATGAAATAGCTGAGACAGAAAACATTGAAAGGTGAAACATGACCGAATTATCGCCATGGCTACTTTTCATACAGATACGGGTACCTGTGTGCACAGCCAAGACACAATGGAGACATCACTTCTTTGAAGTGCCATTGTGAATGCTTCCTCGTACTTCCGCTCCGATATTAATCTTGAGAGCTCCTTTGTTGGATCTACAGGTGCCCCAACCTGCCCGACAGAAAAGACATGCTGTGAATGAGCATGAAGTAACATTGAGTCGACCATGCCTCCATGGAAACAAAATGATCCAAGGAAAACAGCAGATCAGGAAAATCCATGACAATAAAATAGGCATCTTAAGATGAAAGAATCTGAAAAGCCTGGAATTCATGATTTACAATCTCAGGAAGGCCAGGTGTCGAGCCATTTGATTGCTGCATAGCAAGAGGGCTCAGTGCCTTTGTGTTTCCTGCAGCAACAAGAGCCAAAAGCTTGCGCTGGCCATCAATTAATTCAGTGGTGAGATTTTGGGTGATTGATGAAGCAGAGTTGATCGCTTCCTGCACATAATAACAAATAATTTACTGCTAAGAAAATGGTTTTCTTTGTAGACAGGCAGATATAACAACTAAGCTGAAAATGCAACCATATCAGAAGAATAAACCTAAATATTGTAAAGTGCTTACCCTCAAAGTAAGTGCTAATGGAGTATTTGCCGCCTCAAGCTGCTGCTGAGCAGAAGCAGTGTGTTCACTCATTCCTTTCTGGAATGCATTTTCCACTTGCTCAAACATCACTTTACAAGAGTTATCAAATGCTGGAACCACTGATGATTCCAAACAAGATCTCAGGGAATCCTGCACATTGAGATAGCAGGATCAAATTTTCAACCATAAATAACTTTGGATTCTGCTAATTGAAAACATTTGCAACAAATGCCTGGAGGGAGGAAAAAAATCAGAACCAAGAAAAATAACAAATAAAACAAATCCCATCAGTATAACATATTTTGTGCCGTCCGACATCAGCATACAAGAACCACATTCTTGTTATTCAGCAATGGTGAAAAATACCCACTTATGAACAACTGTTTGTTCATAATAAAGGTTACTAGTCTGATGCAAATATCAGATGTCAACCAGAACATCGTTTCTTGCTAAGCTTGCATACCTGAAGAACTTGCTTCCCAGTAGTTTGGAACTGCGTTTGGATTTGTCTTGCAACTGCAGTTTCAAGTTTAGAACTCATAGACTTCTCTAGCTGGTTCACTGTCTTATCACCAACTCCTCTCTGAGAATGAAGAAACATGAGATATTGGATAAATGCATCAGATTTTAGACAAAATAATCACCATGTAGTTAAAATATAACCTGAAATGACTCTGCGATAGTTGTAGAAATAACAGGCGTAATTGCACGAGCTACAGTGGACCCTATCGCAGACAGTTCTTTCTTTAGTGCCTTTTCTAAAATGGTTGGCAAGTCCTTATTCACATAGTTGGTTATTAGATTTGTCATCTGCTGCATACGCTCCTTCTCAAACTTCTCATGTTTTGCATTTTCTTCTTGGATGCGGGCCCACAAAGCATCTGCATTGGCCTTGATGATCTTCTCCATGCTCCTACTTAACATAGTCTCCACCCTTTTACCTTCTTTTGCTATTGGTGCAGCCACCATCACACCCATCTGCTTTTGCATTTCCTTTTGCATACTCATAATCTGCAAATAATCCACAAGTTGAGACTGCAAAATATATTAAAATAACTGCATATGTGAAATATATGAATGGCAAAAACCTAATCTATAAGTCTCTCTCTTAATGGAAATGGCATATATTTTTAGGTTTAAGAAAATTTGACAATTACAAATCAGTTGAAAGAGAAACTTTGCTAGTGTAACTAGTTCAACATCAGAAGCATGCATGAGATTTCAGTTAATTGTCTGAGTACACACTTCACCTACAAGATGGAACCATAGGCTTAAAGAAAGCACTGCCTCTAGAATTGACCAATGAGAACCATGTAGTCGAGCACACATTGCCACTGAACTTGTATCATGATTATTAATTTTCGGGCATTTCCAACCCACAATCAGCTAACAAAGGATCTCTTGAAGTACTATTAACAAGGATGTCAGGGTCATGTCTTCCTGAGCGTTTCACATCATGTGTACTTCAAGGTTCTCTGTTTCGCCCAGATCGATATGAAACAGGTAATATGGAACATTCACTGTACACAGACCACCTCCATTTTGGGTGGGCGGTCTGGCCCACTAGAAAAATTTTAAAAAAAGGAAAAAATCTTCAATTAGGGCTTGTGAATGCAAACCCTCTTCTCCATACACAGAATTATTCTCGAGCCACTTCCATCCGACGCATCTACCTCCCCGCAGCCGCTGCTCACCACCGACTATCTCCCTGCCACTGTCGTTCGCCACAGCCTCTTCTTGTTTCTTCCTCCTCTTCCTCCACCGTGCCTCTTCTTGCTTCCTCTTTCTGTTTCTTCCTCTTCTTCCTACACAGCCTCCTCTTGTTCCTTCCTCCTCCTTTCTCCTCTTTCTTCACCACCTCCTCTTCTTCCTTCCTCTTCCTCTTTTCTCCTCTTCCTCCACGCCTTCCTCTTCTTCTTCTTCGTCTTCAAGACACAGATATGTAACGGTGTACTGTTTGTTGGTAAACTGGTATCAACAGATACGTGTAGATCCAGCTAGTGCACAATACAGGTCCACTACAACCGACGTTTGTTGGTGTACTTAATTCTTCATTATCTCAACCTACCAATAAAAACATGAGCTGTAGCAGCAGTATCACATATATTGCTTACCTGATTCTCAATAGAACATTATATTAGTAAAATAAAATGTTTAACAAAGGAGAAAAACCTGCCGTAGGCATATGTTTATACAAGCACTGATTTCTTATAACAAAGGAGAAAAAGGTGTTGAATTCTTAAACATGTGATGATCAGTGAAAATACCCTTAGACCAATGAAAACAGTTACCTAGCATGTGGCAATCAACCTATGTGTTATAAACACAATGCATGTTGGCAATAGATGCTAACTCATATGAAAAGGACAATACCTTTAAAATGAAAGTAGATAATACCCTATGGTTGTGCACTACCTACAAATGACAGGGACACTAGAATGTAAAATCTCAAGACTGAGGGGCCAAGCATCATGGTGGTACTAGATACCATGCACTTGGTACTTTGCCAGTGTATATATATATTATGGCAAGTATATTAATCACAGGATCAGGTCACTTTCAAGGGCTGCATTGTAATTCATATTAAAAATGGAGCGGATTGGTCAGATCAGCTAACTCAAGTTGCTGGACGGGCACTTTCACTTAAACAATAGCTTAAAATTCAAAAATAAAAATAACTAAAACAGAAATCAAATGAGATTACTCCTTCCTCGATTTAATTCCTGACAGCAACATGATTTTGCAGAATTTGCTGGTGAGGATCTAGTGGGTCACAAAGGAGAGGCATGTCCAGGGAAGGCATCATCAGCATTGATACCCCAACAAATCCTCAATGAAGAGGATCAAAATGAGGATCCTTATAGGAATAGATCAATCCAAATTAAGCCAATCCCCCAGCCATGAACAGCATTGATACGCCCAACAAATCCTCAACAAAGAGGATCAAAATGAGGATCCTTGTAGGAATCAATCAATCCGAATTAAGCCAATCCAGCACAGTGAACGTCCCTTGACCTTGGATTTCCCAAATTGGCCAATACCAATCTGGTCAATTCAGGAGTGATCTTAACACTTCTAACATAACACAAACAGTAACAGATAAACAAACTATTAATGTTAAATAGCAAGCAGGCACTCCTAAATTGGCCAAAGACAATCTGTCAATTCAGGACTGCTCTTAACAATCTTGACATAACATACAGTATTAGACAGATGAATTTTTAATGATCTATAGCAACAGTAACAGACAGATTTTAATAAGAAAATATGTTGAAGACAAATGAAATTTTCACCTGGTTCAGCATTTCCCGCATAGCAGGCATTTGAGGGAAAGTAGCATCAGCTGAAGGGACATTTGCACTGCTCCCTGGTTCATTCAAAGCATCAGTAGAATTGAAAGGGCTTGAGGAAGGTGATGAAGGGCTTAACATTTGGTGTTTATTTTCTTTCTGTTTCTTCCCTTTGTCAGCTGCAAGAGATTGAGATGCTGCAGTAACAGCAGATCCTGTCACCTCTTCTGTTGTATCTTTTGTGTCATCAGGAACTTCCTCAACAGTACTTGGCAGATGTTTCTTTGACCCAGGAATAGCAGTGTCCTCACCTGGGTGACTTTCTTCCTCAAATGAATTTTCTGTTAAGATAGAACACTCATTGTCCACCTCAAAGTCAGCCAATGAAGTCTCAGGGGATATCTCCTTGTTCTCATCAGGATAATCTGGAGGCACTTTCTGAGAATCAAGTTCCTGCTGACCTGATCTACCCTCACGGGCCTCACCCACTACTTTTACTTCCAGATCAGAACCGTCGATGTTGTCACCAGTGGTGATATTTTGAAGCTTAACATCCTCAATTATTCTTTGATTGGCTCGGCTGCCTTCTGAAGAAGGTATAGCACCCGATAAAATTTCTGCAGGAGTTATTAAATGAGTTGAGTTGCCACCAAGTTTAAACATCATCCGAGGATTAGATAACTTGGAGAGATCACTGTGTCCTGCTTTAGATTCCTCCTTTGGTGTAGTCTCTTTTGTCATAGGAACATCAAATGTGCTTGGAACAACAGAATCCACTTTTCTGTCATCGGAATACTCAGAAAATGACCGATCAGTTTCACAGCCACCAAGTGATGGTGCTTCCTCAATTTTCTCAGGGCTCTTCGGGGCAGGTAATGTTCCTGCAAAGTCCACATTTAAGGGAACAGAAGATGGTGCAACCTGCAATGCATCAGCATCTGCTTTCATAAGTGGAGGAGCACTAGGCTGAACTTCAAAACTTGAGGCAGACAATTCATTAGTCCTGGTGGCCTCAGAAGAAACTGAAGCTACAGCATGTGAAGTTGCACCGTCGAGGCTGCTATCAGTAAGTCCACAAGATGGCTCTGGGACACCTGCTCCTTCCAAACTAGGTGTATCAAAAACACGAGATAAAGGATCCTTTACCAACCCAACATTAGTGGTTGGTGGTGGTAGACATTGAATTAAATCCAATGCATATTGTTGGATAGCCTGTGTCTGTACGCAGTAGATTTGAACCACCTGTTCTCCATCAGGAAGAAAATCATGTGTTGCAGTAAGACTCAAAATAGGCATTGCAACAGTAAAGTCTGCTATATAGTCCATGTGCGTAGAAGCAGGATATGGACCATAGTCAACATGCACAGCATAAATAGCATTCTTCTTTGCATTTGCAATAACAATAAGGCTTGCTTGAGGCAAAACAACTATTTGATTGAAAAATGCCTCTTCAGTTCGATGCTCCAAAGAACTTTTTAACTCCAAGGTCTGAGTACAATGCCATGATTCAGAATCGCTAGGCAATAGCCAACCTTCTTCAGTAGCAGAAGCCCAAATTTTCACTTCTCGACTCAAAGGTCCCTGCAAGAGAAGATTACATGGTTCAAAATGCCACTAAAGGCAGCACGGCTATATAAAGAAAGGATGTTATTTCTTCATGGAGGGTGGAATATGCATGCAAAAGACTATCTGCTGTAATAAGCACCACAAGGCAATAAAGGTACATACTGCTGTAATGAGATTGATATGATCAGGGCGGTGGGGTGATGTCATAAATGCCACTGAGTTAACAGGATGACCATCATGTGGCTTGAACATGGCAAGGGGCACCATTTTACGATCATCCCAGATTCTAACCTATAACAGAATCAGAAAACCAAATCATGAAACAAACCATAACAAAAAAACAACTAAATATTATGCAAGTAATGTAACAACTCATGCTTCTCCTTGTTGTAGATACCAAAAAGAACCAACCACTCACAAGGTTGACTACAGTCTAGAAATATGTTTCTCGTGAAGAAATAATAAAATTTCACAATTGAGCAAATAAAAGAAAATGCTAATAAATAAGAATGTCATTTTTTTGTGTTGCTTACATCAGAATAGGAAGGAAATGTACAAAGGATTTGCTGTCCTTTTTACATCTTATGATCAGACCATGGGTGAAGTATTTGAATCCTGATGTTTTACTGAACCTTTTTCTTTCCTCTACACAGGCATGCAGCACATACAATAGCAAAAACTATCGAAAGAGATATCATAAAAGTTACTGAGGAAAATATTTGTTAACCTCTACATTGAATCATCAATATGGAAAAACTAAAAATAGCTGGACATCCATATCCAAGAGCAACAGAAAGATGAGATACTAAAGCTCCAGCAAAACTTACTGACATTGAACACAACTAAATTATAAGCAAATGACTGCTGCAAGGACATAGTGTCTAACCGAATATGTGCCATCGGATATAAAATTCTAAAAGATTTGGCACAATTGAATATGAACACGAGAAAGAGGCTCTTCAAAATGACACACTGCAAATTCTAAGTGGCTGATTCTCTTCTGAACTAAAGAGATCTATTATCGCATTTATAATCTTTCTTTTTCACATGCATCTCATGCAAGTCCGTTGCCTGTTTAGAATTAAAACAATTCATTGCAAATTTGGCAAGGATATATGTAGGTTTATCACCAGTAATACATTTTTCCGCAAAATATTTATGTAATAATAAGCAGCCATGCGACCAACACCAAGAATTTTAACTGCAGACCTTTACATTCACCCAATTAAATTGAAATAATTTTCAATCATTAAACAGTTAAACAGGGATAAGTACAAACCGTTCCATCCTTTGATCCCGACACTAGGCGAGTGACCATCCATTGAGATATAGACAAATCCGTCACTTCTCCATCATGTTTACCAATAATTTGCACTCCATCAATCAGCTTCTCAACATGACATTTAATAGGTTCCTCAGCCAAAAATTCCTTTCCTCTTCCAACTTTGTTAATGTCAATTTTCAGTACCCAATATCCAATTCCAACAAACAAAATTTCCTGGAAAGATTGAACTATAAGCTTCATAAAATATCACCAACAAACCACATTTTAGGTCTATGAGCAGCAGCAAAAGATGCATCCTTATATCAATAAATTAGAGGGCAATAGAAATGAAGTTTGCAATCAGTTAGCCCAAGAGCTCATGCATACTCAAAAAGATTACTTTACTTGTTTGTGAGAGTGCCAACAAATTCGTGGATGACATGACTCCCCCTCTCCTACAATCTGAACAGCCATTACTATTTTTCCTGTTATCTGTGGTTTATTTTCTGTATCAGGCCCCTCATCAATCTTCCAGACAAATACCCTTCCATCAATGCTTGCACTGCAATGGACAAAATGAGTAGGATGTCAAAGCAAATTGATTAAAAAAATAGAAGTAAAATCAAATAGTAGCAGAAGTACCTGGCCAATAAGTGCACATCTTCAGCAAAGAAAGCCATGTCAGTGACCCTCTAGAGTATAGGCAAGTAACATCAGTACAGAAAGCCGAAAAAATAAAAGAAAAGTTGCAATATAAATAGCTTCCAAAGTGTAGCAGAAAGAAAGGAACATTTCAGCCATTACATAATTGCGAGCCAAGTGGAAAGAAAAAATCTGTAGCAGTTTAACCATACATAACAAAAATAACATAGAAATTGTACTTTGACATCAGCAGATTAAAAAGTATATATTTCATACATCCTAGATCTAATTAAATCGGATGAATTGAGACAGAATTTGGTAAATAAGTAATTATCTTAAATATGTCAACCACACTTGTTTCATCAGTGGGTAAATGCCAAAAGGTTTATGCAAAAGAAAAATGAGACTTCGATATGACAACTGGAACAAAAACAAACTATTATAGGCATGAATGAGGAATCTGGTGAATCTTAATCTACATGAGCTTAGAGCCGAATATGTTTCTTTCATTTCTGTTACTGTAATATGGCCTTGTTCAAGTTTTCCACTGACAAAGTAGAATTTGCATATAGCAAAAGATGCAAAACATAGAAGACCCATGAATTAAGGAAGCTACGAAATGATCAGAAATCAATATAGCATTTGTTAAGTTCCACAAGACCAAATCCATGAGAACTCCTGGATCCTATAGTTCTATGGACCCCAACGATTAAGCATCTGCACTAACTCGAAGTTCAACTCTACCAAATCTAAGTACACCTCCAAAGGAATCAATAACATTGTCATATGTAGTGTAAACTTACTCAAACCATGAGCAACACCAATTCATAAACTGAACTGTTTCTTTCTAAAGCATGTTCAACAACTGGAAATTTTTCAGGAATTCAATTGTAGTTCTTTCAATTGTTAATTGATCAATGATAGTATGTATTTTCCTAAAAAAACTCAGAAAGAGTCAATCAAGCTGCCATCAAGCACAATAATAGCAACATCCATATCGATGATCATGCTCCACTAAGATGAAGATCAAAGCCCATATATATATTATTCTTTTGGCTCAAGTTTCAAGCACCAGGGTATGGTATATTGTGATAACTAGATCTATTAGTCACAGGAAAATTATAAAAGAATAACAAAAAAAGATTTTCCACTTAATGTAATGCAGAAATGAGTTTTACTTAGCAGCGAAAACAAACTTATGATATAAATCTAAAATGGTTAACAAATTAAGTTCCATGTATATCAGCAACCTTTTAGTCATTTTGAAATTACAGGTAACCAGTAGTTAAGAGTAACATTATTATCATCAGTATCAATAAAGTGCTATACATCTTGATGCTACGGAACATCAAAAAAGTTTATAATCAGAGTATTAAACAAATAGTAAACAATAATTCACCCAATCCCATATGGCAGGAAAACCTTAAAATCCATAGGAAGGAACTCCAGTCACATAATTCACAACAATAAATCCTACAACCTGAGATTTTATCTTGATATAGTAAAAGACAAGCCAATTCATCACACTTTCGAGGTCAAACAAATTCATCAATCAAACACAGAAGATGTACAAATTGAACTTTAGTTTTCGAAAATCAACCTGAGAATGCCCCTTGAGCAATGATCTCAGAGCTGTGTTGATATTGAGCACCCTGATAGCACCGAGCTTAAGACCATAGCATATGTAGTTCCGGTTGACAGCGATCTGGCGGCCCAAAACAAGCCCTGGGTCCGAGATGTACTTGGTAATCGGCGTGACCTCAAGCTGTGGCGGCTGTGTCTCTCCTGGCAGCCTCAAATCCACATCATAGACTGTCCGTTCACCGGCACCAAGAAGCCGCCCCCTTGGCAACTTGTTGCTCGGCATCCTCACCGGAGCTGACTGGACCAGAGCTGCAGGCGGGGCCGACGGGATGGGGTGAAGCATGGCAGTGGCGGCAGTGGAAGGAGCCAGGAACTCCGATGGCGCGGATGAAGGGGGCGGCATCGAGACGGCGGATTCGAGTTGAGCGGGAGGATTCAGGAGCGCCATGAGGCGAGCGCCGGGATTGGTGTTGGGGCTAGGACTAGGGTTAGGGCTGGGATTGGGACTGGGGGGGTGGGAAGAGGCGACAGCGGGGGGGTAGATGGCCGGGGGCCGGTGGAGTTGCTCCTGCGGGTAGTGGAGGAAAGGGTGATGGTGGAATGGCGGGGTGGCCGGGGGATAGGAGAAGGCGCCGGGAAGCGGCGGCGTGGGGTACGATGACGGCGGCGCGGGGTAGGCGGAAGGAGGTGAGAAAGGCGGCCGGGGGGCGGCGCCGGGGTTGGGAGGCTTGAAGAGAGCCTGTGTGTCGTAGTTCCCGGAGGTGTTGGGGCTCCCGGCGGGGGATGCCATCGTCGGCGTCGGAGGTGGGCGCTAGGGTTTCAAGGAGGGGTTTCGTCTATCGTGCGCCGATGTGGGCGAGCCGCGTAGGGTTAAAGGGGGGAGATCTCAACTAGGAGAGTACAGATTGGAGAAGACGAGGGGTCAAAAAGCAAGAAATATGTTCATGGTACTCTTTTTATTCTAAGACGAATTTTCACCAAAAAAAAAAAACTTATTTAATATTATATTTTTTTCCCTTGAAACATTCTTATTTTAAACATTCTTATTTAAAAAAAATGTTCAAATAGTTTTTTATGAGTTATTTTACTCATTTAACATTAAAAAGTTAAGTCTAAAATGATTTATATTAATTTAATATATATATATATTTTTTTTTTTTTGGTTAAGGAAACTTGCAATTGACTGCAATAATGTATGGAGCTACTGTCATAGTCTTAGTGTTGCTAGTGATGAAGAAGCAAAAAAAACTTCTCTTTTATTATTTATCATCTTTTTCTTATGTATAGTCTTCTTTCTTCCATAAGTGAAATGTTACTGTTCTTCCTTGTTCTTTGTAATTTTTTTTCTTTTTGAATTAAAAACATAAAAAATCTCATGTAAGTATACTATTGTCTTGATTATTGTTCGATCATTTAATAATTATTTAGAGAAGATAATATATATATATATATATATATATAAGATTTTCATAAATAGTATAGTATTTAAAGCATCTTCTTTTGTTTGATATTTATTGTTAAATATGTGAGCTTGTCAAGAAACCTATAAGCTAAAAACAATAAGCTTGTCAAAAAACAATGCATATATCTTTGTTATTGTTTTTTTTTTTCAAAAATAATGTACCACATATTAGTAAAAAATTATTTGATGACCAAATTTTTACCACTAACTAGAATGTCAAATGTAGAAAAGCCATTGCATTAGTGCATGATATATTTTAGAAGAATCAGAAATATATTTAAAAATTAAACAATAGCACATTGTGTAGGATCTAAATAATTCTAAAAAATATTTAAAATAAAAAACATTGACATATATCCCTCTAGATTCAATTTAAAAGGTATCTTAAAGCTTTTAGGGCATTTTAAAATGTCTTGAGACGATGCATCGCATATTAGTAAAATTTATTTAATGATCAATTTTTTTGTTTAGGACCTAATTAGAAGGTCAAATATAAAAAAAATGGCATGAGTGCATAACATTTTTGAGGAAATTTAAAAATATTTAAAAAAATTAGAAAAAAAAAAGCACACTATGTCGAGCTTAAATAATTCTAAAAAATATCAAAAAATTTATAAAATAGAAAAACATTGACATTTGTCCATCTAAGTCCAATTGAAAGGCATCTTATAACTTTTAGGATATTTTGATAAGTCCTGTACTATTTTGTGATTTTAGCCAAAAATATTGCATCACATATTAGTAAAACTTTTTTTATAATCAAATTTTTACTATAAAAATTTAGGACGTAATTAAAAGGTCAAATGTCAAAAAAATAATGCACGAGTGCTTCATATTTTAAAAATTATTTAAAAATTATAAAATGACACGGACTTGAATAATCATAAAAAAAATTCTTTAAAATAAAAAAAATATTGACATATGTCCATTCGGATCACATTAAAAGATATCAAAAACCATTCAGGGTATTTTAAAAGGTGTTACTATGTGATAAACTATTTTTGGATTTGAAGTCAAGTGCATGGCATATTAGTAAGACTTTTTTATGGTCAAATTTTTACTAGGTGTGTGGGATATAATTAGATTGTCAAATGTCAAAAAACTTACATGAGTGCATAATATTTTATAAGAAATTAAAAATTTTGGAAAATAAAAAAATAGCACAATGTATATGAGCTGAATAATTCTAAAAAATATCGAACAATTTTTCTAAAATAGAAAAACACTAACATACGCCCATGTAGATCAAATTCAAAGACATGTTTAAAATTTTAAGACATTTTGATAAGTCCTTTACGATACATTATTTTTCAATTTTGATCAAAAATAGGGCATCACATATAAGAAAATATTTTTAGAGGGTCAAATTATTACCAAGGGATTACGACTGTATTAAAAGCTCGAATGTCAAAAATTATTGCATGGGTGTATAATATTTTTATGAAAATTTGGAAGAAAAAAGTTAGAATATTAGAAAATGACACACTCTACAAAGCTAAAAAATTTAAAAAGTATAAAAATTTTATTAAAATGGAAAAACATTGACATATGTCCATTTGAATCAAATTCCAAGATATCTCTAAATTTTTAGGACATTTTGACAAGTATTGTTATGTGATGCACTACTTTTTAGATTTTGGCCAAAATCAATGCATTACATATAAAAAATATTTTCTGAGAGCCAAATTTTTATCAAGCATTTGGGACCTAATTAGAAGCTCAAATATTAAAAGACATTATATGAGTGCATGCCATTTTTGCGAAAAATAAAAAAAATAAAAAAAATGACATTCTATGTTGGAAATAAAAAAATTCGAAAAATATATAAAATTTTATAAAATATAAAAAAAAATGGCATATGTTCATCACATATTAGTAATGCTTTAAAGATATTTTGATAAGTCTTGGTATGTGATGCACTGTTTTTGGATTTTAGCTAAAAATAATGCTTCACATATTAGTAAATTTTTTTAATAGTCAAATTTTTATCAGTTGTTTAGTACCTAATTAGATGGTCAAATGTTAACATACTTATATGAGTGTCTAATATTTTTGTGAAAATTTTAAGAATTTTTTGGAAAATTAAAAATGACATGATGTGTAAGAGGTGAAAAATTCTGACAAATATTGAAAAAACCTCTAAAATGAAAAATCACTGGCATATACCCATGTGGATCTAATTCGAAGTATTATCTAAAATTTAAAATATTTTTTTAAATCCTAATATGTGATGCATTGTTTTTGGGTTTTGGCCAAGAATAGTGGGAAATATTTTATGATGGCCTGACTTTTATCATGTGTTTGTGACTTAAGAAAAATGTTACATGTCAAAAGACATTGCACGAATGTATTATGTTTTGCTAGAAATGAAAAAAAGCCAATGTGTTATTACCCATTTTAGTGTTACATTACTCCATGGATTACAAAAAACATTGTTTTCTTTCTAATCATCTCATTATAGGGAGGTTCCTATTTCTGATGAAGTGTTTTTAGTTTTCCATGATACTGATAGGCAAATAACTCAAGTTTTGAGACTCTTTTCAAAGATTTAAATTATCAATTTTATTATAATGAAGACGATGATAGTAGTGATGTCTTTAAAAGTGAATTAGCTAAAGAAAGAATACAAGAAGAGGTTGAAGGTGATAAAAATCTAATATTCATAATGCATTAGATGTTGTTGGTAAGCAGGTTCCTTAGGATATGTGTGATAATATTAGATAAGTGCTTATTGAATAGTGTTATAGCTAAGATAATGATGTGTTGTTAAATACACCAATTTCTTTCACTGAAGATAATAATTATTCCTACAATAATCATTTTGTTGGTTAGGTATGGTATTTGAATGATGATAAGGTATATTTTGGGTCCAAGACACATCAGAATCGATGCCGCATCGTGCTATAGCCGAGTCAGCAAGGGGAGCACCCTCATGCGCTAAGTCAGAATCCGTACCAAGGCGTTGTTTGGTATGTCCTGTCCCGAAAGCTCGGGACGACGTTGTCTGGCGTCGTTCCGAGCGTCCTGGGACGACGGTCATAGAAAGGTACTGTCTCATCCCTCGAGGATCGGCTACCACACTAAATCCATATACGATCGACCCTTGTATATTAGTATAAAAGCCCCTGACCGACATCCGGCCAGGGGGGAGGACAAAAAGAGAAAAATAATGATTGAATTGCTCGTCGGAGGGGCAAAGTCGGGAATCACCCTACGAAGGTCATTATTGCAGGAAAGCAGTCACTCTCGAGCCGTGAGCGTCCCGACCTAGGAGTTGTCATCTAGTGTCCAAAGACGAGTCGCTAACCAGCTTGGAGATAGAGAGACGCTGCTCAACATCAACAGTGCCTGGACCAAGAAATACTTATCAACACCCTATCGCGAGGGCCCGACCGACCTCGACATCCAGTTCAGCTGACCGAAGACTCCTGACATCGACCCGTGGACCAAGCCGTGCTGACTCATCAGTCACGATACATTAATTCACCAACAAATAATTTGATAAAGTTATTTTCTTATATTTATTTGATATATATTATTTTATAACTCAAATGATATCTTTGTACATGTTTTTTGAGATAAAATTTAATTTCAAAAAGTCTTGAAACACTATGTCATCCAAAAAAATTTAAGATTAAAAATATTACAATTAGAAGTATAAGATAAAAGTAAAATATAAAGTTTTTTATTGTCAATGGATGATTGTAATAGTTCTTTCATCGCTGATCAAATTAAACATCAAGTTATGTCAAATATTAATTATAGTTTATACTTGAAAGATTATTATTGCTGATATTCAAAAAAAAAAAGGTTTCATATAAGAAGATTTATCTCACGAAAGATTACTCTTAATAAGGTTTGTGGTGATTTTGATCAGTCGATATAATTCTATTTTTAAGGGAGTTAAAATTGCATGAGACTCGTGTTTAAATAGTAATTTCATTAAAAAAATATTTTTTTTAAAAAAAATTAGATTTTCAAAACTTGTCTTAAAAGTTTTAGATTATATATTGACTTATTTTTTATATTGTTGTTGCACACTATTGATGGTTATAATAGATTATTTCCAATTACATTTGGTGTGATAAAAATTGAGTATAGGTATTCATGGGAGTGGTTTTTTTTGCATCAATTGAGAATATATATTTTGGGATGCAAAAATTTGATTATTATCGATGATCAAAATCAGAAATTATTTCAATTGTGAAAGAGATATTAGTAAGAGCATATCATAGTTATTACATTGTTCATCTATCTAAGTATCTTAAGAGCGACTTACAAGGAATTATAAAGTTATTTTGGGCTATTATTAGATCTCTTATTATGTATAAGTTTAATGAATGTATATAAAAATTGAGAGAAAATCATAAAAAATTTTATTTAAATATCTAAAATTGAGAAGAAAAATTAGGTTTTTATATTTTTTCATAACTATCGTTACACAATACTCTTTACAAATGT